TTGAGGTATTTTACTCAGCTGGAATGTTTCCTAGAATTCTGATGACTCCTTTTGCTTGTCTAGGAGGAGCATAGAGACAGAAGGTGTGTGTGTATGTGTAAAAACTCGCCTCCAAGAATATAATCTACTGCATTGTACAGAACCACATAGCCACTTCCTATTGTTTACAACTGGACCTTTAGAGCGAATAATAATAACAATAAAAATAAATTTTATTTATATCCCGCCGTCCCCAGCCGAAGCCGGGCTCAGAGCGGCTAACAACAGTAAAATGGCAAAGCATTATAAAATCATTTCATTTTAAAATTAATTCCAATCAACTTCCAATATTCAAGTTTGCTATTTATCAGTAGTCCACAGAGTTTCAAATGTAAAACAACAACACATGTTTTATTCCATACAATGAATGGAAAAGAAACTGAAAACTGCAGGAAAACCCATTAACTGTACATTTTTCAAGGTTAAGAATGTAAAGATCAGAACAAAATTCAAACAACCAGTACCCTTTAAGATGTCAACAAGTAATAAGAAAGATATATCGGGTCTGATGGCACAAGATTACGCCTTGACGAGCATGTCCTCTCCGATCAGCTGATTGTATAAATAAACCATTCACTTTTTTTCATGCCTTATTTTGCTTTTCTGTGTTGCTATTTTTTAAAAATATTATTATTATGGCTAGGAGTCTCAAAAGCTAAAAGTGACCTATACCTCTAAGGGCATCTAGGAGGCCCCAAATACACAATGTAAGCACATATAATGTTTCTAGCTGCTCATGTGCAGGTTGTATAGTATCTGCACATTGGACAAAAACACACATTTCTGAGGAATTTTATCATTCTATGGTTCTTAATAATAATATAAATAATACATAGTGATTCAGAGTGTTTAGATTGCTTCAGTACATTATCCCAGTAAACCTTCCAGCAACCTTGTAAAGTAGGTCAGAGTTATTAACCCCATGCTGCAGATGTGTGTATTTGTGTGCAAGGGAAACAACAGCCTAAGGCCACCTAATGCATGTTACTGGTTGGGTTTTTATTTATTATTGCAAAATTATTAAAGGGGAAAGGGGGGAACCCAAAAGTACAGTGGTGCCCCGCAAGACGAATGCCTCGCAAGACAAAAAACTCGCTAGACGAAAGGTTTTTCCGTTCGCGATTTGCCTCGCAAGACGAATTTCCCCTATGGGCTTGCTTCGCAAGACGAAAACGTCTCGCGACTTTTTTTCTTTGACTAAAAACAAAGACATGTTTTGTTTATAAAGTTAATTTATTTTCCCTTAAATTTTTGAACTGCTCTTTACAGTATGTGTGACTTTAAAGAGCAGTTAATAAACTGTTGTTGTACCAAATTTGGCTTTGTTTGGACTTTTTTTGACCATAGGAACGCATTAATTGATTTTCAATGCATTCCTATGGGATTTCGTGCTTCGCAAGACGAAAAATTCGTTAGACGACAAAAATTGCGGAACGAATTAATTTCGTCTTGCGGGGCACCACTGTATGGAAAACAAACACACAACAACAACAGAACAAAACAAAGCCATCAGTTCACAGTCACAATACAAGAAACATCCTTCTTAATTTAGACATACAGATATGCCTTCCTAATGTCCACATAGCTATTGAAATGAAGCTGATGCTTATATAAAGTAAAGGTAAAGGTAAAGGTACCCCTGCCCGTACGGGCCAGTCTTGCCAGACTCTGGGGTTGTGCGCCCATCTCACTCAAGAGGCTGGGGGCCAGCGCTGTCCGGAGACACTTCCGGGTCACATGGCCAGCGTGACATCGCTGCTCTGGCGAGCCAGAGCCGCACATGGAAACGCCGTTTACCTTCCCACTAGAAAGTGGTCCCTATTTATCTACTTGCACCCGGGGGTGCTTTCGAACTGCTAGGTTGGCAGGCGCTGGGACCGAGCAGCGGGAGCGCACCCCGCCATGGGGATTCGAACCGCCGACCTTTCGATCGGCAAGCCCTAGGCGCTGAGGCTTTTACCCACAGCGCCACCCGCGTCCCTTGTTTACTTTATATAAAGTATGTATGTTCAAATGTGGCAAGGGCAATGATGCCTTCAGACCATTGCATAATAGATGATGAGAATTTATCCTCCCAGGCTTCAAGTATAAGTTTCTAATAAAAATCCATTTTTGTTGCCCTGTCCCCATACGACAGGTGTGCCATTTAAAAGTACATGACTGTCCATGAATATAGGAATTTGCCAAGACAATATTAATACAGACAACAACTTCAGACCAAAGAGCAGATTACCATAAGGACAAGTGTCAAGGAGGCATTTCACCTCCAGCATATATCTGAGTTAAACAACACCTTATTGTAGAGAATCATAGAATAGAATCATAGAGTTGGAAGGGACCCCAAGGGTCATCTAGTTCAACCTCCAGCAATGCAGGAATCTTTTGCCCAACGTGGGGCTCAAACCCATGATCTTGAAATCAAGTGTCTCATGTTCTACCAACTGAGCTGTCTCAGCTGTCACCTCCACAGAAGACATTGTTGAGTCCAACATACTCAAAATATCATATATATATTTTGCTGAATCAATCTCAGATTTAAATCTAAATGAATCTCATGTGTGGATCCTAAAGCATTTCTCCATTGTTTAAGTTCTTTAGCTTGTACATTCTAACTCCCAATTTCAGCTGTTGGTGAGAGCTGAACCAAGGACTTCCCTGCTGTCCAGTTACTGCGCCTACAGAATACTAGCTCTCCGCCTGGGTCTGGCTTAAATTCAGGACATTTTCCTTTCCCTGAGGAATTCAGTCTACTGACTGTATTGGGGGCATTAAGTGGGTGCTTTGGCAGATGGAGAAGGACAGCTGCTCAGCGCTAGAGCCCTTACTTTGCATGTAGAAGGTTCCAGATTCAACTCTCAAGTAGGACTGGGAGAGCTGCCTGTCAGTGTAGGCAATACTGAATTGGATGAACTAATGGCCTGACTTGGTGTAAAACAGATTTTTGTGGCTGTCCTATTCTGCTTTCCCAGCCCCCACAGCTGCTCCTTTTACACTTGCTAGTCTTTCCACCCCAACCTCTCACCTCATAAACAAAGTGCCTCACTTAAGAGACACCTCCAGCAGCATATCCCTTCTCTCTCTCTCTCTCTTTTCAATGCTTCCAGTTATTGGCATTTATGGCGAGAGTTAATCTGAGGCGGCCACACTTGACTATGTGCTATTTCAAGTTACGGTCAATGCCAGCATAAGAAATTGAGACAGGCAGATTTTGAACTGGAGCTGAATACCATTTGCAGCCCCAATTAGCATCTTAATAAATGCTTCGTTATTGCAATCATGCCATTATTATGTTTTACAAACCTCTTGCGGATTGAATTTGTGTTTGTCCAACCATGAGACTTTTGTGCTACGCAGAATAATGGTGAGGTTGAATTTTACATAGGTAGTCAGATGACACATACTCTTTCGTCTGTGACCCAGTAAAAGGGGCTAATGTTTTTAGCCAGTAGCTAATACAAAGCCATAATTAATGTGATGGATTTATGTCTCCTGGATGTCATGTTAATGCAAAACCAAGGCTGTTTCTCTGACATAATGAAAACTCAATGATAAAGGGAGCCCCAGAAATGAATCCCTTTTGAGTTCTGCAAACACCTTTGAAAAGAAACTGTGTAAATATGAGAGAAAATAGTTTCAAATGAATGACAAAATTAATCAGTGCTACCTTGTGGTGTGTTGAAAATGTGAAGCACATGTCAAAACCAGTATCAATTCGTGGTTTATTATCCAAGTGTAAAGGAATATTGGAAAAAAATATTTCATGGTTGATAAATACATAGGCAGTTCAGCGAGACTCTTCTTGTTTCTTGTCAGCCAATACAAAACGTATAAGGAATTCTTTCAGGGTAAGGAAATAATAGTTTCTATGATTGCAGTGGCCAGAAACGAATGTGCTACAAAGAGACAGGCGACAAAGTGAAATTCCAGGCAGATATGGGCGAAAATGTGGAAGATAACAGGTCATGTGTGAGGAAAGAGGGAAGACAAAAGACTGAGTTGGTTAAAAAGGTCGAGACCACGTTTGCCAGCTTTCCTAAAAGAAAGTGGAGCCCAAAGTTGGACGTACTTTCCATTCATTGGGAGGGGGGAAAACACGTTTGAGCGATTCGTAGTTACACTACGATACGATTTTTTATTTTTTTTGAAAGGGAGTGAGAAAATATGAACAGTGCGGAAGCGCATTCCTTTTGTTCAACAGGCTATGAAACGCGCAGACGCTCTTCTGAGGGAGAAATTCCTCAGCGTGAAGCGAAGCCCTTGTTCATGGTGTGTCGACCAAAACCCCCAAATCCTTAAGTGAACCCTGAACGGAAACTTCTTTCTTTCTTTCTTTCTTTCTTTCTTTCTTTCTTTCTTTCTTTCTTTCTTTCTTTCTTTCTTTCTCTCTCTCTCTCTCTCTCTCTCTCTTTCTTTCTTTCTTTCCACCCCTCTTTCTTTCTTTCTTTCTTCTTCAAACACTTCCCCTCAGTCCCCAAACGAAGACCCGTGTGGAAAGCGCGCGCTACGAACTCGCCTCGACGGGGCTCGCTTTCCTCACCACACCATATACACACACGCGTGGTGTATGTGTATGTGTGTCCCCGTGTGCGTGTAGGGGCGGTGGCCTGCCGCCTCCCAATCCCCACCCACCCTCCCGCCTCAGCCGGAGAATGACTTCACGCTCGCCGCCTCTACTAATCCCGTCCCTTTCGGAAACCCTACAGTCATTCTTCCACACGGACTGTGGCGGCGGCGGCGGCGGCGAGGAGGAGGAGGACCCAGACAGACAAGACAGACGAGCTCTCCCTCGGCGCGCGCACTCCCAACTCTCGCCGAGCGGAGAAAGGCGAAGGGGTGCCCAAGTTATGCTTTCGCCGCCAATGGGGGAGCGCGTCGCGCCTCACGTGACGATGCTTAGACCCCCCCCCTCCCCTCCCCACCCCACCCCGCCTGCCCGCCCGCCCACCTCCAACAATCACCATCACCCTGTCTCTTCACACGGGCGCTATTTAGTTCTTCAATTCAGGTCGGCGAGCTCGCGCCGGCGGTGGGATGTCTCTGCGCGCGCCAAAGGGGAGCGCCCAGTTCGCAGCGGCGGCGGCGGCAGCTGCTGGACAAGGGAGACTTTCCCACCACCGCCCTCCTTTCCGTTTCTTCTTCTTCTTCTTCGGCCCGGCCCGACACAGCCCCTGCCCCGGCCCCCCAGCGCATCCAAACCCCTGGGAATTCTGCATCTTTGGTATGCTTCTCACGCCGCGTCCAGCTCGCGGACGCCGCCGGAGGGACTTCGCTTCAGCGGGAAACGGTGAGTCCCGTCCCTCGTCGCCCCCCCCATCCCCTTCTTTCTTCTCCGAGTGGCGGGTTCGGTCCCGGGCATGTGTCAAAAAACGCTTCCCTTCACTCTCGGCGGACCCGCCTTTGGCGCGCAGGTGGGGGCATTCCTGAGGAGAAGACTTTGCGGGGGGGGGGGGGGAGGAGAGGGTCGCCTGCCGATTTTCCGAGAAAGCCCTCAACTTCATTATATATATATATATAATGTGCAAAAGTCTGCGAAGCCACGCCGCTGCTTATCACAGACAGCGTCCTGCTTTGTTCGTGAGGGAAAACGAGGAGGGGGAAGGTGGGGTGGCTGGCTGGGTGGGGGGGAACGGCGGCGACGAGGAAAGAGGGTCTGAGGGGAGGACGGACGACGAGGACACTCGGCTCCTTATTGATTTTTCTTCCTTTCTCGGGGGTCTTGAGTGAGGTGCGGCGCCCCGGGTGGGGCGTCGGGGAAGCGAGGGACAAACTTTGCCAAGTCAGCTGGCGAGGGGAGGACGCGCCACACTTTGCAGGCATCTGACAGTTATGATAATGAGGCCGCCCGGAGACACTTCGGGGACAAAACGCCTCGCAGGTTCTTCTGGACAAGGTTCTGTGGGGCAAGAGACTCCCCCCCCACTCCACTCTCACCCCCCCTCTTTCGAGTAGAATGTCTTTCTTTCTTTCTTTCTTTCTTTCTTTCTTTCTTGACATATAAATAAATAAATCTCTTTCCAGCGATTTACTTATTTATTTGCCCGTCTAGGATAATTTAATTGCACCTAGGGCAGAGAGGCTGCTTCCCCCCCCACCCCCCAAAAAAGAAACCCCAACACACATAGACACGCATTGGAATTCTCTCGCCTTTGATTTTGAATTTGCTTGAATTCCCAACGGGCTTGGGAGAAGAAGAAGAAGAAGAAGAAGAAGAAGAAGAAGAAGAAAAAAAGGAAAGGGGTGTGGGACTCTCTTCATAGCACAAGATCAGAGGGAAGGGGAGACAAGGCGATCAGAAGACATTCATAATAAGGAGCCTTTCTCTAGTGCTTTTTACACGCACACACACACACACACACCACGAGAGATTCAAGTTGCTTTTGCTGCGTGAGATTTACGAGTTCTCAAGCAGGAGCAACAGACAAAGCATAAGGGGGTGTAGTTTCTGCTCTTTCTTCTTCTTCTTCTTCTCCTTCTTTGCCCCCTTTTTCTCCCCTCCTCCCGAGAAGGGGGAAAAATGAATTCAAGAGTCTCGGAGTATAGCAAGGCACTTTGATTTACAGCTTATGCTCGCATAAAGAATTCTCACCAGGCACTAAAGAGTAGAAAAATGCGACCCTTTATGAGAAAGTTGCATTCTGAAACTAGCTTCACAGGGGAGCGGTTTGGGACGGAGGGGAGGGGAGGAGGGGAGGGCGAGCAGGACAATAGAAATCTGATTCAGACCCAGCTAAGCAGGGTCTGTAAGAAAGTGCAGAGCAAAACCTAACACAGAGAGAGACATGCAAACTGTTTCTAGGTTCACCCACAGCGAAACAAAACAACGCCCCTTGAAATATGAATTTCAATTAAAATAAGAAAATGGTTTAGTGAGACTCCAGACGTTCCTAATTACAGTTGGAAATAAATCTTCGCGGGCAGAGCCTACGCTTGCTGTGGTTTGTTGGGAAAGGAACCCAAGGAATGCATTTTCTAAAAGGAGGACTCGGCGTGAAAATATCTCATAACCTTTTTTAAACACACACACAAAGCAACAGTCTTTATTTTTTCCTCTTCTTTGTCTGCCGTACTGTTATCTACACCTCCCCCAACCACCGCCCACTGTGAGCTGAGACACCTGAAGGCCAGACATAATGATCAACAGAGCGCTTTACTCCAGCCTGTCTGGATTCCAGCCAGGTCCACCCCCCCTTCCCCATTCTCCAATCAAGGAGCCTGCACGCAATGCACGCCAGGCTTATTCTTCAACTGCATGCAGAAGAAGGGTGGGAGTCTTGCTCCTCACACCGTGGCAAGACCCAAGCAAACAATATCCCCTTTCTCTAGCCAGGCGAGGACCCGTTTTGACACGTATTTTCTCTCTGTCCCTCGCAATGCATTTGCAAGCACCACTATCTACTCCTCTTTGCAGTTTTGTCAAGCTCACAGTTTACTTTAGCATTCATGTGCTGTGAATTTCATATACTATGACAGTTATGTGACAGTTCCCACAGGTATTATTTTTAGAAAGTGTGGAGTGTATAGAAAGGCATTGCACACATGTGTCTTGCATGGTGCTTCTCCCCCCCTTTTAAAAAAAAGATTACTGCGTTTAGACGAACATACATAAACATTCCAAGGTAATTCAATAACCCATTTGTAAGAAGCATCAAGTCATTTACTTTGCTGTTATCCCCCTTGTTAGGCAGCTATTGCATGGTTTTGAGAAACAACACTTTCATAAAGTTGGACTTTGGGGTGAAACACTGAGGTGCTTATACCTTTAGAGCTGCACTTAAAATTTCGATGTGGCCTGTGAATTACTTAAAAGGAGATGAGTAACTGTGCAATTCTACATTTGTTTACTTGGAAGTAAGTCTGATGATGTGCAGTTCAATGGCTTACTCCCAGGTAAGTACATACAGGACTGTAGCCTTAAAGACAAGAAATATTTAGAGTCGAGTCACTAGGAAATTTTGCCTGAAACCAAATTCAGAGCTGTTTTGGATGATCTTGAACAGGTGATGCATAGGTATGAGTTTTGCAGGAAGTTAACAAAATGTTGATAAAGATTAGGAAAATATTTCCTGCGGCTTTTGGATGGTAAGTGTTTGTTATGAATGCATTATAATGGCCATATATGTGCGGGTTGATTCTTTTATGGCATAGCTTAGCGCAGAGTACTGGTTGGTGTAGAACTGCTTTTACCAGCCTAAAATGTGCCAGGTTATGGAAACCTGGTGCAAAAGCAATGAAACTGCCTTTGAATAGGGATGTGTTGTGACCTTGCTGCCTCTTCACCTGATAAATTTCACTAATGATGCTTGAAAACAACAGCAACCTTTGCCTGAAATTTGGCCAGTTAAAGAGAATGTTGATGTCATTTTAAAATAATCTTAGTGAAATCTCTTATGTGAAAGGGTGGGAAGGTCACGCATCTCTCGTTCAAAGCTAGTTTCACATACCAACCAGTATTCTGTGCCCAGCCATGCAATATAGAAATGGATATGGCCATTATAATACATTTATAGCAAACGCTGTTATTGAGAGTGAAACCTATGCAGTGAGGGAGGAATGCAAATAAAGTATTGTTGTTGGTTTTTTTTTTAAAAAAAGATACATCTGTAATTTTGTGAAGTGCTTTAGGTTTACTCCAATGAGTAAATTGCTTTTCTATTCATTTGTTTTTGTTTTCAGTGGTGCATTCAACTAGTAACTTTCTTTCTAAAAGTTCCCCTGACCCACTGAAGGCATTTTTATGAGAGAAAGTATGTGTGTTGGGCAGGGGGCGGGAGTAATGGCATTCTCTAAATAATTTCAATGGAAACATTGTCTGCACACATATGGCAAAGTAACTTGAGTAACATGTTAACTGATATAGTGTAACAAAACATTTCCTTAAAATTTCTATTTAAAGAGGAGACCTATAATGTTGTCCATCTGCACTGTAATGCAGACTATTGCATGTGTATGAAAATACCATCCATACAACAAAACATTTAAAACTCCATACTTAGTTCTGATAGGGTAGTGGAATTCCAGCAGTCTAAGTTCTCAGTATGTAACAGCACTATACTATAAATGTATACCTAGAGTTCAAATGGACTTACTTCCTTGTAAGTGTGTATTGAAGTACTTAAAATTAAGTCCCATTAAGCCCAATAGGGTTTTTTCCAACATGAGTGGGTAAAGAATTGAAAGGTTGTTCATGAAAACACATTCGTTCTAGTGTTCTTAATGTGCTCTATTTTCATTATCACTGTCATTTATTCAGTTTACTTACCTCTTAAAGCAGTTTTTTTAATTACTTCAAATAACTAGAGAAGTTACAGCATCTCCAAAGATGCATTTATCCCTGATTTCTACCTATTTAATGCACCAACAGATGTTAATATACATCTTATATTCAATACTTACTTAAAAAGATTTCATAATCCCACTGTGTTACTTCACATCTTACCTGTAAATGACCAGAACTTCACCACAATGGGCAATAACAGCCTTCAATGGCGGTAAGTGATCTTGTGATTTATTCAAAAAAATGTACAGTACTGGTCTCCTTCAAAGTGTGAAGAGAAAGGTTGAAAACTGACTGTTCGCTGTTTTGAGTTCCTCAATGGAAATTATATGGGCACCCATACAGTTTCTTCATTGGGGTGAAAACAGCTGGATTTCAGTTGATTTCAGCGGAGTAATGGTGGAAAGGGAGAGGGCTCAAAAATCCACTTGTGTTTCAAATCACATCCTTTGTGGCTTTGTAAAACAAAAGAAATATGTAAAAAGGAAAGAAAGAAGAAGAAGAATCACAGTCAGAAACATACACAATGTACAGCTTCATCCCCACTTCTGAGTCAATATACATTCATTAGTACAAAAAGTTTTTAAACTTTTAGTTACAGGACTGCTGCTCTAGCCTTTGGAAATGGGAACCTGCAACTGAATTAAGTTTATCCAGGATCAAACACCCTTGCTGTACAGTTCACCCACTTTTAAGTGGGATTCATTACGATACTGATACTTTCCTTGGTATAATCTTCTGAACAGTAGCTACATCTAATAAATAGTTCGTTGCACAGTTGTGTAAGTTCATTCTGAAGGAGTATCAAAAATCAAGATATCCTCTCTTATTCATTTTGTGTGTGTGTGTGGCAGTCATCATTCTCCACACACACACACACACACACACCTGGAATGGCGCTTGGTCTAGGGCATTGTGGAGGATGCAAAAATGGTGGCTGGGTTGCCGGCACAGTTTTTGCACCTGCGTTGCAACAAGACGGCAGCAGCAGCAACAACAAAAAGAACCTT